TTGATGCCTGTGGGGTGTATATAAGTGTTGTATGCATCCTTACTTATTTAGTGTAGATACCAGAAATCATACGTCCTTTGTCTAAAAAAAGCAGTATCAATCATTTCAAAAATAATTTGACGCTGATTGTCCAAATAAAGGCCGATGCCCCTGGAACGACACTATCTATATAATTGATCTGCTGAGACCGAGGTAACTGCGTCGTCAAGACTCGGTATGCGACGAAAAGGGAGGAGGACATTTTCAAGAGATGGAACTAGTAGCAGCATCACATGATGACGAAGGAACGACTGAAGATGAAGCTTGAGCAAGCAGGTAGGTCTCTGGTTAGTAGAATTATTACTATGAACACTTGAACGAGGAAGAAATGTGGGTACCCAGCAGGCCAACAAAGTCTCCGCAGCGCGCTGCACGTGCATGTCGTCATGCACGGTAGAGGAGATACTAGGACGACAAGTTTTTTTTATCGATGGCACGCACGTTTTGGCACGTACGTGCTACATAAAACCACTGATGAAAATTATTAGACGCGCCAAGAAATCTCTGTCGTCTCTCTTGAATTCTCGACCGAGAAAGAAAACGATCGAGAGCTCAGGTGAACAGTGTGCATCATCGGAAGCTCAGGCGAAGCTTCCGCAGAGCAGACCTGCAGGTCGAGACATGCATGGCGTCCTAGCTAGTCGTAGCGAGAGAGACGGTGAAACGGATGGCTCATGCATATGCATGGCTGTGCGTAGGGAAGAGGCAATCAAATCCTTGTATTGACTGGAACTTGCTGTACCTTCAAGTACCAGATGAAACTGTTTTGAGTTTGATTATATTTTTTTTATAAAAAAATATTTAGGATACTAAATAAGTGTCATTAGATTTACTGTGAAGTATATTATATATTTTCGTAACATACCTATCTGGGTTTATAAATACTGATGATATCCTCTATAAACTTTAGTTTCCTCAAAAATATCCTCTATAAACTTTGTCAAACATTAGATATTTTTGAGTAAAATCAGAAGAAGGTTTCATGGCGAAGGGAGTACAAAAAAAAATGGCGCCGGTCGAATAGAGGACGCACGTACATATGGGCGGCGGTGACTCGATGGTGGCGCGTAAGGATCGGATGGACGTATGTAGTACGCGCAAAGGACGTACTTAACTTGTGTGGTGCTAGGCAATGCAATTGCAGTCAATCAGAGTTATATTCAGCGCGCGAATGAGGACGCCGCCATGTCAAAGTTAGGCCGGCCGGAGACCGCAGGACCGGATGGGGTTTTGGACGACGTTGTGCTGCGCCTTGCATTGCATACCGACGGACGGCCGAGACTGCAGCAAGCTAGGGCCACAGTGCCAGCTGGTCGTCGTCGTTGTCGCTGTAATAATGCTGCATCAGCTAGGCTGCAGCTAACGCGTCGTACGTGCGTGGTGTGGTGGAAGTGGAAGTAGTGGAAGTGGTCCCGGCGGTGAGGGAGGAGAGGAGAGCTGCGGTCTGCGACTCCGGCGCCGCAGTGCAGATCGATCGATCGGCCGTTGACGTGGTGGGGTCTCGGAAGCTGACTCCCCAACAGGCCGGCCAACACGAATCACTGCATCCGATCCGATCGATCCGTCGCAGCACTTCATAGTGGAAGGCCGGTGAGGAAATATGAGCTTTCAGATGTGCGGTCCATGAGCCATCACATCCTAATCTCATCGGCCGATCCCACGCATGTTCCGCCTTTTTAACGAGTAGTACATGCGTCTGCAATAGCGCAAACTGATGTCTGTTATTGTTAAACACCACATGCCGTACAATTGGGTTTTGCTATCCGGGAATTATTCGGGGCAGTGAAAACATCATTTCTCCCCTATAACTAGAAAGAACCCTGGCCTTTTATTCTCAGCCGTGAGGAATGACACAACAGCAGCATTGCTCCACCACCACCCTGCCCTCCATCACCAGCTCCAACAATACAACCAAACCCCACGATACCATAGAACTTATTTTTGGTGGCTCTTTTTTTTTCCCGGGGTGGTTGTCATTTCTGCAGGGTGCTTGATCTATAGAGGTGTCCTTTGATAGACCTAGCTAATGACGACCACAGCTGGAAAATCAGTCTCTAGCTAGTGTCGGTAACACTAACGGCCCTACAAATTGACCATTTTTAGTTGCGGTTACCACCTCTACAAATAGGTTTCACATACATAAATTCATAATAACAAATTAAGTCTAAGAACTTTATATCAAAATTGTAAATCTTAATAAGATCTAAAACTCTCTAAATAATATTTTTTTATTTGAGATTGTATATAGGGGCTCAAATATTCACTGATGTTTGTGTATTCTTAAATTCAAAATTTTGAATCTTTCAAATGAGCTTGGATGGAAACTACCCCTATATCAAAATTGTAGTGCTTGATGACGACAACTAAAAAAATGTACTTAGTTTTTCTTTTGAGATTATTTATGAGTCTTAACCTCTAAATATTCAATAAAATACCATAAAAGTTAATACAAAAAAATAATTCCTTGAATATATAAGTGACGTGGCGCGGTGGTAAGGACTCACATGATGCTTTAGTCATCGAGAACCACAACACACATGTGTTTTATCGTGTGAAAACATTGCGTGTTATGTTTTTTTTCATTGTTTTGTATTTTTTTGATTTTTTGAAATTTGATTTTTAAATCCGGTTGACGTTAGGGACATTCTCTAAAAATCAATCTCTAGGGTTGGTCTGTAATATCAACCACCACTAGAAATTAATCTTTGGGAGCGGTTACAAGCCTCATATCTAGAGGCACCTGGATAGATGTGAATGCAAAATACACTCCTAGAAATCATTGTTTTACCGTTTCTAAAAATGTTTTTGTATAGTAGTGACACTAACCACACATAGTCATCCATGCCACCACCCAATGTGAAGCTACATATGTAGTGGCGATTGTAAAGGCACTTCCTGCAGAATACAAAATCAGTGATGATGTCTACAGATTCACCATATATGCATCCTCTACAGTTGACGTCGTTGGCTTGCAAGTTGCGGTCGTCGCTCGCTTTGCGCCGGCAAACAATTTCAAGCCCACCTTAACATACCAGATCGCACGTTCAGAAACCCCAAAAGTCCATGTTAGACCCAAAGGTAGAAGAATTCCATGGCCCAGGGATATGCATGTGCAGCGAGCCGATCGATTGTCCTTTAGCTGCTTGTGGTTAGGCCGCTGCTGCTTTCAAATCCACTAATACAGATCCATGCAAGATTTTGTTGCTATGTTAATCTTGTTATTTAATTTAGTCGACTGAAATCTTCCAGGCCGACTTCAGCTCAATTTAGTTAGTTAGATCACTCATCGTGCATGGAGGCCTTAAATAACTCTCCTGCTTTTTCAATCGTCTCTCGCGTTTATTGAGGCCTATTTGGACAACTTTGGATTATAGGAATAAGATAAAATAATGTTTCCGAGATTATGAATTAGATTATAACAATCCAACTAACAGATTATTTAGTCATATATACCATCTTAAACCTGCTAATACAATAAGATTATAGTTGAACAGACAACAATCCGTTACTTCTACTCACTATAATCTATGGACCCGAACAACCCTAAAACAATTTAAATCAAAAAGTTTGAATTAGAAATTTTAGATCTCTTCGAGTAGGACGACTTAAGTTTAGATCATTTCCTCATTCAAGGTTATTTAAAAATATTATAAAATATTAATTTCAAAATCATTAATTTTAAAATAAAATTTCCATGTCCTAAATTATTTGAAATGGAAAAGTAGTCAACTACAAAGTTGCCTCGATTACTGCAACTTTAGTTTGGGTCCTTTGTCCATCTGAATCATTTGAAAATTTCAAAAAAGTAATTTTAAATTATTTATACTGGCGACAGGTTAAGAAAATTATCAGTATAAATACATTTTTCTTGGCAGATATCTTAATGTTACCCCCAATGCAAATTCTCTATTCGTATTGGCGGATTTCTTAAGGTTACTGCCACCGTAAATTGGATTTAATTTACACCGGTAATGATTTCTTAAGCCTACCACTAGTGTAAATAGATGATTTGTACTAGATGGAACCTTAAGAAATCCGTCAATAAAGATGTATTTACACTAATGGTTCATAATACCTACAGTTCTATTTGTACTGGCATCTGTTCTTTATGAAACCGCAAGTGGAAATCTCTCTCTCTCTCTCTCTCTCTCTCTCTCTCTCTCTCTCTCTCTGGGGAATCAAGTGGAAAATCTCTAGTGCCCGGTTTACGCACTATATTAGAAGGGGAATGTGCTAATTATACATGTATGATTTGTTAACTTTCATAATATACCATATTATGTTGTTTCTAGCAAGTGTACTTTAGCAGATATTAGTATGCGAAATAAAATCGAGCAGTGCCGACATGTGTCACTATCCAGCCTAGACTAGTTCATTTTTCATAGGAGAGATACTCTGTCTTCTCCTGATGATTGAATCAATTCCTATACTAAATTTTTGACAAAAAAAATTGATTTATAGCAGTGATATATATAATACATTAGCCTGTTCATTTCCCCTCTATCTTCAATTAAATTTTCGTACGTTTGTGGCAGGAAATTCCAGGCTCTCTTAACTTTCAAAGATGCTCATGATAGCCAACATTTTTGAACCCACTCCGATCCATGGTCTGTCTGTTGACCCCCAGGGCGCGCAACCGCCACCACGCACTTCAATTCTCTCTCGATCAGGATCAGTCAGGACACACGCTCTCTCACTGGTCCATGTCCTCCATCCTCTACTTTCCCATCATCTCCTAGCATAGCATGCCCAGCAGGGCAGGGCAGCTATAAAAGGAGCCCCTCAGGCCGGCCAAGCACTGCACAACCCCATTCACACGCATGCATGCAGATCAAGACCTAGCTAGCTAGCTAGCAATCTCGGGGTACGTACGTACGTGCATACGTACACCCAGTTCACCGGCGGCCGATCGATCACAATTAAGGTACGTACGACGACGTACACCGGCGTCGACGACGACGATGAGGGAGCTGATGCGGCGCCTGAGCTTCTCCAACCGCGTGAGCGACGGCAGCGGCGGCGTGCCCCGCGGGTGCGTGCCGGTGCTGGTGTGCGGCGACGGCGACGGCGAGCGGTTCGTGGTGCGCGTGGAGGCGCTGCGCCACCCGTCGTTCGCGGCGCTTCTGGAGATGGCGGCGCAGGAGTTCGGGTACAAGCAGGAGGGCATCCTCCGGGTGCCCTGCGACGTCCGCCACTTCAAGGAGGTCCTCGCCGCCGTCTCCGTCTCCGTCTCCGTCTCCTCGCCGCGCTCTCGGAACTGATGATCCAATTTCGGCTGGTATCAAAGCCGGCTGATAAGCCGGCTAAAGCTGTTTTGTTGTGAGAGAAAAACTACTGTAGATTTTAGCTGATAAGCTGGCTGATAAGTTCAAACGAACGTGCTTCCATGATCGAAATTGCTGCTCAGACATCGTCGTCGTCAATCCGTTCCGATATCCCCTTCTTTAGTGCCTAACCTGCAGTTTATTACGTAGCTATTATAGTGCTGATGTTGGTTGGGGTACCTACTTTCTTCTTCAATTTCTTCTCCTCATCCTCCTCCTTGTTCATTGGTTTCTTTCTTGCTGGGACAAGATGACGAGGCTGCAACCTTGTTTCATTATCTAAAAAATATATATATCTGCTATATGCATCCGCGCATTGCAGTGTGCGTGTGTAAAACTAAGATTAGGCCTCCTGTCAGATGTTCTGTGAAAACAATGGATATTATTGTTCAGTCTGCACATATACACTTGTGCTGTTTAATTTTATAATAATATGGGCCAAATTTTTCATCTTGTAATGAAATCTGAAAAGGATAATCAAGTTTTCAAGCGGTTAGAGGTTTTCAGAGTTTACATGATAATAAACAGCACATATATGTTAGGAATATCTAGCTTGCTAGTACGCAGTTGAGAGTCAACTTTTCAATATTTCATCTTAGCTAGCGCACAGCGCAGCGTCAATTTGATAAGTTGTGTTTGGTGAGCAGATTCTCCTCAACAGTGCTATCCTATATACTAGTACATTTGGGAGAGTGTTGCATGTACTCCTATGTTTAATTATTAGTGAGGACTAGCTATCACGTCTATTCAGAGTGGAACCCAGAAAATATATAGAACAATTTTCCTGAAGACTCGCGGACAGTATCGACTTTTAAGCGCCGGAATAGTCTAAGGTTCCTTTCCTCCGGTACCTGTGTTACAAACTTACAATACGGTTCCTTTCCCATGAAACAAATCCCCGGTTGGTTAAAATATATGTACCTAGGTCTGCGAGTTTTTTTTTTCAGATTTATCCAAACGGTCTTTCGTCGCTTGACCTTAATTTAACCACAATTCTTTTGGAAGAGAACATCAGGAACTATCTATTTAGCATGCTAAATTGATCAGTACATGTCGTGCGGAAAAAAAAAAAAAATACAATTCTAGTTCTTCTTAGTCAAACTATTTAAATTTTGATTATTAAAAAAACATTAATATTTTTATAACACCAAATAAATATACTATAAAAAATTAATTCATGGTGAATGTACTGATACTTATTTAGTATGGCAATATTTATGTTTTCTTTTTTATATTTATATAAAGCTGGTCAAATTCGAGATGGTTTAACCTGGTATTGTTTTAGAATTACACTTTTCTTTGGGGATGTAGGGAGTAAAAATCTTATCTAACTTTACTTGTCATTTACTATACGAGTTATGACATGCTAATAATCTCAATCACGTGCACACATTTGGCCATCTTTTTTTCCTTCCCCTTACTGTAGTTTCTAAATTCTTAATTGAGAATTGAATCCATTTGTTAGGGAACACGATCTTTTCATAGATTCATTGTAATCTTAAAATTCTATAAAAATGGAAACAACAACTTTATTAGTCGGCATCTCCATATATATCTAGTTACTTGTAAGATTTACTAGGTGTGCCTTATACCACGTATGGACAATCCTCTCAACAATTAAAAGATCTAGAACATGAGACTACTAATTGAAGTAAGAAGTCTCCCCTTCACTTCAATGAAATGATTTCTTTTCTTCAAATAAATTATTTCATTTTTTTCAGGAACAGACCACACTGATCAAAATTGTGTTTTTTTTATTTGTCTAACAAATCATTCTCCAATTGGCCTAAAGACTAATCATCGGTCAATACTCTATACTCACCAGTCGTATTAGTCACTACAAGTACGATCATGAGTGTTTATTTTATCAAAGGGCACGAGTTTTAGTTACGCTCTAGGTCGATCCAGGCCCTAGAAAACTCAGTTTCAGGACTAGTAGAAGCAATAATACACAGATGATTTAGAGATCAAACCACCTACCTGAGTACCAAGGCACCTCATTTACTTCTTTTTTTGTTTCAAATTAATTAATCCCTCTGTCCTTTTTAACTATCGTTCTCACTTCCCGATAAGTTATACATCTACTCAACTTTGACCTAATATATACAAGAAAATATTAATATGTATGGTACATAATTAGTATCATTATATATATTGTTGAATCTACTTTCATGATAAACTTATATGGAAATATAAATTGTACAATCTTGGACCGATGATTCCGTAGTACGTATATACATACATTTGACCCTGTGGATGTTCGATGCGATGCGATGCAACGTTTGACCGCTACGTGTCAAGGTCAACTAATAGGACCATACATTGTGTTGGCGCAGCTAGCAGCACTGCTACGTTTGACAGCTACGTGTCAAGGTCAACTAATAGGACCACACATTGCTGTCGACGACGACGTACCATTTGAAAATGGCAACGATGAATTTGTAAGACTCGTCATGCAACGCGCTAACAGGAAAATGGCCTGCCAGGGTGTTAGTTTATTTGTTGACTGAAGACTTGAAGTAATTAACCTGCAAATACCAACAGAAATGATTATTGTAGCTAGCGCGTTTGCTATTGCTACTTCAGGAGAGATGCCGAAGCGAAGCCGGAACATTTTTATGCATCAGCATCATCTAGACAAGAATATAATTCCTGTAAATAAAGCGTACCGATTCCTTGCAAGCAGCGACGAGGCGATCTACGGCATATATATAGACACGCGAGGCTAGCTGAAGAAGCAGTCCTGATATATACTAGTAGTATATAAATAGGAGCACGTTTGTAATTGACGGAGCTAGCTGTGCATTTGGAAGGATGCGATCAAACCAAAAGATTGACTCTGGCTACTACGGTCGTGATCGACGGCGACGGGTCAAGCAGCTAAGCTAAGCTTTCTTAGCCACCTTGGCACTATGGTCGTCGATCGATTTCACTCTGATACCTAGTTTCTACAGCCGCCTTGGCACTTCAACGTCTATTCGTTCTCGGATAAGAGAAGACGAGGACCAGGGGTGAAAAATGGAGAGAGAGAGAGAGCAAGTTAGAAGCACCTTTGAATAACGTACTATACGACTCGACCGAGAGAGAGGTAGGAAGAGAAGAAAGAACCTGACCTGGAGCGAGGGCGAGATGACGGGCGATGGAGTATCGTCGCCGTCGTCTCCGCACGCTTTCCTTGGGCTGCCTTTGCGGTATTCTCCGTGCGGGGGAAACTTGGCAACGTCGCTGGAATTCAACTCAAGCAAGCGCGCCGTGCAAGCGTGAACGTCGGAATGGGTCAGCGCGCGCGCGTAGCCTTGGGCCGTGATCGGCAAGGGCCACTAGTTACCTAGCATGGGCAGTGGTTACCAGATTCGGCAGGCCGGCCGGCAGATTTTGTTTGGTGGGCTGCTTGGGTGGACCAGGCCCAGCCCAGTAATGTTGCGGTCTTGTTGGCCCACGTCGCCTGTTGGAAACAGGTAAGCTCTTCCTGAAAAATGAAAACAATCGACCAAAATGCATTATAGGCAATCCGATTTCAGACTTGGCCACATACTAGTTTGAGTTGTTCCCTTTTGGTGCTATGTGCAAACCCTTCTGGTCATTTTCTTCGACTGTTCAAACTCACTAGGTGTTTGCAGCAATTTATGGAGTGTCAAATCATCTTCACTAGATATCGTATCCTATAATCCTATATATAGCTAAAAAGTAGATGCCATATCTCATCTTCTATACTTATAATAATTTTTAAGACATTTTCTAAAAACAACAATTTTCTCGTAAATAAAGGAGACAACCCTCTTTTGTCTATTTCTAGAGAAATATAAAAGATAAATTTTAAGTAATGTGCTACGATAATATATGCTACAATAATAGTCTCTTATCTTAAATTAATTTTAAATTATTGTCCTAATATAACTTCAATATAAGAGATCTACTGAAGTTACCTTACATTCTTGTCATAAACTCACCCCAATCACACAAAAAAAACATGCATGCCTAGGGCTACGCTTGCCTAAAACTTTAAAACTAAAAAAAATCATGTTCATTTTGAACATATGCAAGCTAACTACATAGAACTATTGAAAACATCTCCGCAAAATTCATAGGATTTTAAGAATCACAATAATTCTAGGGAAATTTAGCGGACCAAAATAGAGTATATAGGAAAAATAATAAAACCAGCAAAGATTCTGACAGGAGGCTGATATCTTTCATTCTCAGGTAGTCAGGTTCCCACCACCCCTCACTGGACAGTGGGACCCGCCCGTAAGAGACGGCGCAAAACCCCCGAACGCCCCACGCGCGGCGGACGATGTCCAAATCCAAATCCAAATCCAAATCCAAAACCCTAAAACCCCTTCCACCCAATCTATCCTCTCCGCTCCGCCCCTCTCTTTCTTCTTCATTCTTCACCAAGGCCCCCACCCCAAACGGCCAAACCCCTCCTCCTCCCCTGCTCATCTCCCTCCGCCCCATGCGCCCGCGCCCCTGAGCAACCGGGCTGCCGGAACCCTACCCGGCGACCCGTGATGCCCCCGCGGCCGTCCCTCCACTCGCTGCTCCTGATGGCCGCCTCCGCCTCGTCCTCCGCCGCCGCGGCCGGCGGGGGCTCGGGCCGCCTCCTCGCCGCGGGCGGTCATCGCATCCGTATGCTCCACTCCTTCTCGCCGGGACGCGTCCCCAGGCGGCCCGAGGTAGCCTGCTGCGTGCGCGGCGCCCCGGACGCGCGGCGGTCGGCCCCCGCCCCCGCCCCACTGCGCTCCAGGAACGGTATGCGCTGTGCCCGCTCTGGAGCACTCGCTCGTTGTTCTTTGTCTTTCCTTTTTCTATTCTATAATAGAAAAGTTGGACTGGATGTGTCGCCCTGTTTTGAGCCTACCACTGTACCAGTGGATGAACCACATTGTGTTGGGCAGTTCAGCAGTTGTACATTTGTATTGTATCCAAGCAATGCTACTCAGATTAGCTGGTCGTGTTAGTGTCTAATTGTGGTAGAAAATATGACATGATGCCCCCACCCCCTAAGTGTCAGTAGGCTAGAGTAGTATTTCTGACAGTATCACTGGAGTACTATTTCGGGAAGCAATATTTACATCGCAAGGTTATCTGTACAACTGTTAGATAGCTCAGCTCCTCTTCTAAGGTCCTTTGTAGAGCTATCAAATATCCTGTGATTCTTGTGGCAACTACACATTTGATATTAAATCCTGTTTTTAAATCCTGTTTTTTTTTTATTTACACTAAGTTAGTCAATATAACAATATGTATGTTGAAGATGAGGTAAGTAGTTGTATAGTAATAAATACTTATACCTGCGAGTCGCTTGCCTTTCTGATACTGTTAGTCGTGAGAGCTTTCAGGCTCGTTTTATTGATTGCCTCTTCAATTCATGTAGTTAAAGCTACAGCTTTCTTAGCCACAAGGTTTGTAACTCTACCTGCAATTGGATGTTCATCAGAATGCAGTGAGGCAGTGGGTAGGCTCAAAAAGTCTGAAAATCTGTAACTGTTATTACACGTCCAATTATCACCGTGGGATATACTGTTTGTGGATAAGTGACAAACCTATATTCATGGCCTTGGTACCACATCTCACTTGAGACAAAATCACAGAAGCTTTTGTTTCAGAGAAGCAAAAGATTCAAACTTCTTTAATTCGGTTCGGTTTACTTTTGTATTTCTTTTATCAGAAAAATAGTAGTGAAGACTAAAGACACTGAAATATGGCACAGTCGATTCCAAATGACTTCTGCATTCAGAATGTCCTGACAAGTGAAAATAGAGATACGAGCAGAAAGAATAGGATACCTATATTTATTTAGCTAGCAAGATATTATCTCTTGTGATACTTAGGGGCATTGATCACCAAGGATTGCTGGGAACGGTTTTCTCTGTCCATTTAGGCTTGGCTAACTTGACTTCTCTGATGTGCCTCAGTGCCTGCTGCTGGACCATGCCCTTTCACATTCTTCAGCTATCTGCAGTTCTCGCTGGCAATCTGTCGAGCACATGGTATGCAGGAGCTGCTTAGCAGCAGCGTGTACACTGCTCGTTCCCCTCCTTGGACAAGGACACAGTGGAAGGGCCTGGCTGCCAGTGTGTCTGGGTGCACATCGTGCAAGTGGGAGAACGTGGCTGCGACACTGGGCAAATCGAGAAGCGGAGGCAACAGCGGCTGAGCAGTGGAGACAGAGGCGCGGTGGCGCCGTCTCTGCACCGCAGCCCGTCTCCCAGACAGCCTGACTGCCATTGCAGCCGTGATGGAGGAGACGCATGGCACAGATGCAAAGAAGGGAGCGCTGGACCGCTGGTTCTATATCCCTGCCTACGCTGCTTCGTTGAGTGAAGTAACTGATGAGGTAGGGTGTAAGAGCCCTGTTGGGAGGGGGCCCTTAGTGGTGTGACGGCTAGGGTTTGGGGGGCTGAGGGCGGCGGCACAGGGAGGGGGCGGCGGCGCTAGGAAGAGGGAGAGAGGGAGTTGGCGCAGGAGAGGGAGAGGAGAGAGGGATAGGAAGGAGCAATAGCTCTTCTATTACTTGATTTGATTGATTACATCCCCCTAGTATTTATAGTCCCTATTGGACTTGTGTTCCAAGCAACTTACGAGAGATCCTTATAGATTGGATTCTTCCTTCCACAACTAACCAAACTCTAATATGGTAAACTAACCAAACTCTAATATGGTAAACTAACCAAACTCTGATGTGGTAACTCCTTCCGGGAGACAGCGGCGGCGCCCCTCCTGGCGCGCGCGCAGCCCCTCTAGGGCGCGCTGGAGATGCCCGGCGCCCCTCCTTGGGCCTCCCTCGGCCCGTTTGCTCTAGGTTGGGGGGCCTCCATTAGACGTATGACACCCCCCTTCTCCACTCGGCGCGTCCTCGTGCCGAAGTAGTGTCCAATCATTGACACCATTGGGTGGGAAAGCTTGTCCAGGTAGGATGGCCTCGATGCGGGTGAAGATGCGGCCATAGACGTGGTCGGAGATGATGATGATGTTCTCCCTTGTGCGTGTTGGCGTGAACTCGAAGTAGTAGAGGAGGTTCCCGATGTAGCCGCAGAAGAAGTAGTTGTGCGCTCCAGTATCCGTGTTAGCTCGTGTCGCCTAGCGGGCAGCGACAAGGAAGGGACAGGGAATTGCTGCCCCGAAGGTGAAGTGCAGCATCTCCCTTGGTGGCGCGACAAGTCGTGGATGCGGTTGTCGGCGTCGGGGGCGAGGTAGGCAGGGACGTGGCGCCAAATTGTGGCGCTAGTGCGTGTCGATGGCGTCGTCGTCAAGTTCAACGTGGTGCCAAACATGAAGTGGCCCAAGTCAAACTCGCCTACGATGTATGTTGGAGTCGGGCCGTAGGGCGATGTGGACGCTACCGATGCGGACGAGTTGACGGCTCAAGTTGTCGAGGAAGACTACCGTCGTAGATGGTATGGGGCGCCCCTGCAGCCATGGGTGTCCAAGCAAGATGCTGGTAGGGACCCCGTTATGTTGGGCCGCCGTTGGTGGGGGGTGGGAGCCGAGCACCAAGAGCTCCATGTTCGCGGAACCACCTTGGCGTAGGACCTGTAGAAGATCACGCAGGAGCAATGTTTTCAGGTCGTCTGGTCAAACTTGGTCGCCATGGGACCGACCAGGAGACTAATCGCGATTAGTCGTCGACCAGGCCGATTAGTCGACCCTGGTCGTCCATGTATATCAGGATATATATATATATATATATAACTACACTACTACCCTGTAGCTGGCTACAAAGTAACTTATTCTGTAGCCACTGAATTACGATAATTACTATGTTAATTTACGAGATTATAGTAACTCCCTACTAATTGGTTTACTACAACGTTATGGTAAATATCCTCATATGCTATAGGAACCCAACTATCGTAAATACGTATTGACATTATCGTAAATTAGTATATAAAATTATCGTAAATGGAGGTGGCTACAGAATAACTTATTTTGTAGCTAGCTACTGAATATATTCTCCCTATATATATATATATATATATATATATATATATATATATATATATATATATATATATACACACACACACTACTGATATTGATCTTGGCCTAACAAAGCAAAGACCTTGCAGTAGCAAAATAACTAACATTTAGCAGACCATATAGACCACATAATGCTTGAAGATATTACATAACCAAATTAGTTCAGTACAGATAAGCTAAAGTGTTCAACACAAAGTCACAAACATTGACATTCAATAGTCCCACATCCACATGTCCGCCCAGTTAAACAGGCCCAAAAACAGAGTCACCAAACTGGTCGTCCCTGTCCTAGTCGGACGATTAGTCGTCGACTAATCGGACGACCAGCTTTTTGGTCGAGCTAATCGAGTCGGTCCTCCTAATCGAATACCAGGGACCGACCAGGATGACTAATCGCGATTAATCGGACGACCTGAAAACATTGTGCAGGAGCGACGATGCTGCTTGAAGATAGAGTCGACCATCGAAGAAGAGGAGGCCCTGGTCTACAACCAAGCCTAAGCGGCTATGCCATCTGCTATGGCCATGATGATGGTGCGTAGCTCCCGTTGTTGAAGCGTAGCTCGGCGCAGATGCTCGAAGATGACGTTGGTGGTGTCAATGTAGTCGAGGGCGTTGGAGCGACGGGACCGGCTCGCCCGATTCGTGATGCGGCGAGGTGGCAATGATGGTGCTTGTGGCGGTGCTGGCTGCTCCGTGGTGCCAGTGTGATAGGTGCTGGCACTGGTAGGGCGAGGACGTGCTGTGGAGCACGCCGAGTAAGGACGGTGGTGAAGGAGATGGGGCGCCCGTCGCGGTAGTATTGCAGCTCCATGGCGGAGAAGTCCCACGTGAGACGGCCAAAGTTCGCCAACCACGACGGTCCCAGGATGATGTCGATGTCGTTGTGCATGGCGGCCGTGTTGATCAGTATGTGGGTGCCGGTGGCGAACACTGCTCCTGCAAGGTACATCGGGCGGCAACCATGAACAGCGGACTGTGTCGTACCTATCATCATGAGGAGGCTGTCGTTGATGTCGTTGGCGTCGTAGTCGTTGATGGCTGTGATGTCGAAGAGATGCGTGCACTTGTGGCCACGGGTGAAGAGCTCATCATAGCTAAAGCATAGCCCCGATAGGCGGCGTGCCGCCATCTCCTCGGCGGTGAGGCGCCGTGGTGGAACTAGCGGTGTCATTATTGTAGATGCCGGTGCCGAGGTTGTCGATGAGGGCGCCTTTAGGGCCAACGGTCGGTTAGCCGACTTGGAGGCCGCTGACTTGTTGGCGTCGGAGATCACTGCGGTAGGCGTCGTTCGTACGCCCTGGCGATGGACATGGTCATCACCATGTCCTGCAGGTTCTGGAGCTCGACGTCGGTCTGCAGGGGCTCGAGTAACCCGGTGGTGTAATTGTTCACCTGCTGCTGTTCGTCCAGTACTCCGGCCCGGGCCACGTGCGCCAGGAAGCGCTCCGTGTAGTCGTCGACGGTGCCGGTCTTGTGCAGGGACATGAGCTCTCCCAGTGGGTTGCGTCGGGTAGGGGGGCCGAAGCGGCGCATGTACCACTGCTGGGTGCCGCCTGTTAGACGATGAGATGCATACCAGAGGTTGTTGATGTAGCCGAAGGTGGCTGTAGCCATGGTTGATGTTGATGTGGGCGCTGCGCAGATTTCTCCCGAAGGTAGTTTGGGATCTGCTATCGGTTGAGGGAGTTGTGAGGAGGGCGTTGTTGTTGATGGTGCTCCTCCTTTGTACGCGATCTCCGGAGTGGTGAGTTCCGGTTGAGGTGGGTCTACTATTGGAGGAGAATTTTCGCGGCGGGCGAAGAACTCATCAAACTTCTTCCAATTATCGAGGACCTTGTGGATGTTGTTTTCGGCGTCCACCTTAGGGCGTGCACGCTCGATGTTGTCTAGGCGAGTGTTGAGATTATCAAAGTTCGTGTTGATCTCGTTGAAGCGGTTGTTCATGAAGGTGGAGAAGGTCGCGATCTGCTTCCTCACGTCGTCGATCATGGTGATGGTGGCCATCGGATCGATCTGGTCTTCGGATACCAGGTGTAAGATCCCTGTTGGGAGGGGGCCCTTAGTGGTGTGACGGCTAGGGTTTGGGGGGCTGAGGGCGGCGGCGCAGGGAGGGGGCAGCTACGCTAGGATGAGGGAGAGAGGGAGAGGAAGGAGCAATTGCTCTTCTATTACTTGATTTGATTGATTACACCCCCCCTAGTATTTATAGTCCCTATTGGATTTGTGTTCCAAGCAACTTACGAGAGATCCTTATAGATTGGATTCTCCCTTCCATAACTAACCAAACTCTAATATGGCAAACTAACCAAACTCTGATATGGTAACTCCTTCCGGGAGACGACGGCGGTGCCCCTCCTGGCGCGCGCGCAGCCCCTCTAGGGCGCGCTGGAGGAGCCCAGTGCCCCTCCTTGGGCGTCCCTCGGCCCGTTTGCTCTAGGTTGGGGGGCCTCCATTAGCCGTATGACATAGGGCCTCATGGCGCCGGCGGGAGCGCCTCGAAGGCTGTAGCAGCGAGGGGTAGGCACCAACAGGCAAACGGAGGTGGGAGGTGATGCCAAGTGCTGCGAGCGTCCGGTGAAGGGGGGAGGAGGCGCGTACGGCCCAGTGGGCGGGAGATGGCATGGGCGGCGGGGACGCAGAGTAGACAGAGGGCGACACGACGAGGAGCATGAGAAAGTTCACGATTGTTCGAGTTGCGAAGAAATGGGTGGAAACCCAAACCGAACTGCGATCGAACGGACGTCATTGCGAGATAGCCAGATCGGACGGCCAGAGGACTAATGGGCGACGTGGCCCAATCCGCTTGCCGGTTTTGGGGGCAGGATTCGTATAGTAAAAGATGGTAATTTCCATGTTTGATGTTTTATTTATTGTTTTATGGCCCCAAGCGAGCTCACACTTGAAAAAATGCTTCGAACTCGACTTCTTCCTATTGGAATTGTAGCAGAACAGCTCGATGCACGTGCTCAAATATTTTTTAGAACTTCAAGTTAAATGGTGTTAGCCTGTTTGACGTCTATAAATTAAATTGGTGATATGCGCTGACTAGGCCTCAAAGTTTCATTGTTTCTGCAGTTCCTGTGCTCTCCTCTACTTAGGCTGCTACTTTTTTTAAAAAAAAAAATTGCTTATAAGTTATAACAACTGGATGCAGAATCATCTTTTTTTTAATCGATGTGCTGTGTTTTCGCATTACAGTTCATTCAGCAAGCAACTATGGAGCTGCTTCTGAGAGACTTGGGCAGCTCATTCAGAAATTGAAAAACAAAGGTATTAATCCGAAGCAGTGGAGACTTGGAAATTTCCAGCGCATGTTGTGCCCACAGGTTTGTAGCTTCTGTTTGTTACAACCTTGTGCTGATTCCAGTTTACAGTCTTTTCTAGCTTTGTAACCAAGCAGTCAATCTGATTTAAGAAATGAATGATAAGAAATTGTTCCACAGAAGTGACACATCTCTAAATCATCCATTCAAAATTACTTGATTCAAGATAACATTTCAACCCACACGCAATACTGATGTATAATTTCTCTTTAGTGATCCATTGCATTTAGGATTGGAAATGAATGATAAGAAATTGTTCCACAGAAGTGACACATCTCTAAATCATCCATTCAAAATTACTTGATTCAAGATAACATTTCAACCCACACGCAATACTGATGTATAATTTCTCTTTAGTGATCCATTGCATTTCGGATTGGAAATGAATGATAAGAAATTGTTCCACAGAAGTGACACATCTCTAAATCATCCATTCAAAATTACTTGATTCAAGATAACATTTCAACCCACACGCAATACTGATGTATAATTTCTTTTTAGTGATCCATTGCATTTCGGGGCGTTGAGCTATCTAGCGACAAATAATGAAGTAAACTTTCCTTCTTTTCGCTAGTGCAATGGTGGATCTAGTGAGGAGTTGAGTCTCAGCGTCTTCATCCGAAAGGACGGGTGAGTTGTCCACACCTGACTATGTGATTTTCTTTGTCTGTTGTTTCTTCAGCTATATATTTCAGGATCTAACTATCATCTTACGTTCCTTGTATGCCATTTCTTTAGTATGCATGCAACGTGGAACTGTTTTAGATCTAAATGTGGCTGGAGAGGTTTTATCCAGGTGTGTACATGAATCGAATGAAACAAAAATTGAAGATAGAAATCATCTTGATTTCACTCTCTCTCTCTCTCTCTCTCTCTGCAGGCTGATGGAGTTACCAACATTTCCCAAGGAAAGACTGACATAGAAAGTGAAACTGACCAAGAGGTTGAAGCTAAGAAGACAGCAAATAAGGTTTACAGAAAAGTCATTGAAGAGGACCTCAATCTTGAGCCACTTTGTGACGAGGTAATTAACTAATGCTACTTGTATCAAAGTGGTGTTTTGTAAACCATAAAACAAATTAAAACCCAGTTCAATGTTATTTTACTTTGATGTAAATTGAAAGCATCTGTGATCACATTGGCATTCTGTAAAATGATGGCTTTGGCAGCTTGTAGAATACTTTTCTACGAGAATGATTTCAGCAGAAACACTTCGAAGGAATAAAGTAATGCAACGTAACTGGAATAATACGGTAACTGTTGTGGCAGTTCTACTTTGGTTCAACAGCTGTTGCGATAGGATTATAAATATGGCATCCCATTTGCAGATATCCATTGCTTTTACCTATAGACGTGATGGAGTTCTTGTTGGCTGCAAATACAGGGCAGTTGATAAGACATTTTCACAGGTTTGTGGTCCTCATTCCTTTTGCAATGCATGAAGTTTTGCTATATTGTTATTAATATGTATTTTTATTATGTATCAGGAGGCAAACACGGAGAAAATTTTTTATGGTCTGGATGATATAAAGCGTGCACATGATGTTATCATTGTATGTTCATGATGTCTGATTGGATTTTTATAGTAGCATTTTTCTTGAGAAAATTTGCATCAACCCATTTGATTCCATGTTTGCAATTTGATTGCTTTTTTTTTTTTTTTTTTTTTGGCATTTCAGGTGGAGGGTGAAATTGATAAGCTGTCCATGGATGAAGCTGGCTATCGTAATTGTGTCAGTGTGCCAGATGGTGCACCACCCAAAGTGTCCAGTAAAATCCCAAACAAAGAACAGGTTAGAACTATTTTGTATTTTCCCATGTTGCTAAAGGTTTTGGTCTCTGTGATGATCTATATTTTGCTTATATACCACCACCAGATAGTAGTTTGTTAATCTGTGACCTAATGCCTGTGTATGTTCACTGTAAAGCTAGGATAAGAAGTATAACTATCTTTGGAACTGCAAAGACTATCTCGACTCGGTGAAGACTTTCTTCAGAAATCAATCTATTAACTTATTTTCTGAGGCTAGCAGATCACTTTACTGATTTTGTTCTGGCACATGGGAATAGGCATCTAGGATAATATTAGCAACTGATGATGATCATCCAGGTCAGGCTCTGGCCGAGGAACTTGCTCGTCGACTTGGTAAAGAAAGGTTTGTGCATCAGCATGCTTTAACTATTGTGAAATAAAATGTTATGTGACCATTCATTTTTTTTTTCATTTCCTTTTTCCCATTTGATTTGATGCAATCAGATGTTGGAGAGTCAAGTGGCCAAAGAAGAATGATACAGATACTTGCAAGGATGCAAATGAGGTTTGTTATGGAATGCATGGGTTCATTTGACATATTCTTGAAATCAGTTCTTGGAACTTGGGTAGTCTTTTGTCATTATGTAATCAGCCCTTGTAACACCTTTTTTTTGACCTACAGGTACTGATGTTTTTAGGTCCACAAGCATTGAGAAAGGTTATAGAAGATGCAGAACTGTATCCTATAAGAGGCCTTTTTTCATTCAAAGATTTCTTCCCAGAGATTGATAATTACTTTCTTGGAATACATGGTGATGAGCTTGGTATTCATACTGGATGGAAATCTTTGGATGATCTTTACAAGGTAAAAAAAGTTTTATTGCATTATTCAATATTCCTTAGTTCATTGGTGAAGGTGGGTTCTCAAGAAGAGTTAGCTTTCTTTATTATAACAGTAATGCTTTTTGCGTGCCTCATCACAGGTACTTTGCTCACAGAAGTTGAATTTGGCAATCTGTTTTCTTTGTTTACCATATGATACTATTTCATTCAATTTACTGTCAATATGTTCAGTACAGCAATGCCTTGATTTTGTCCTATAAATCTGTGTATACTCATTCTTTATCTGGCTAATTTTTAATTGAAAGTGGCTTATCCTTTTGTTCTGTGATCGTTAAGTATCATCTGAACAGACTTACATGGCTAGTGAGCATAGAAAAGATGGCCTATAAGCTATGTGCCACATTGTTCAATTTTCCCCCTCTTTTTCTCAGGTTGCTCCTGGGGAATTGACTGTAGTAACTGGAGTACCGAATTCTGGTAAAAGCGAGTGGATAGATGCTTTATTATGCAATATAAACAAACAATGTGGGTGGAAATTTGTTCTGTGCTCGATGGAAAACAAGGCAAGCCATTGTAGTATTTGATTGATGTCAGTTAATTAACTAAACGTCATTGGACACTTCCAAACAGTTTTGTCTTTGGTGTTTAGGTAAAGGAGCATGCTAGGAAACTCTTAGAGAAGCACATTGAGAAACCATTCTTTGATGCTAGGTAAGTCAGTCTGCAATTGGTGTTTGAATTTGTCTTATTAGTGATCCCTAAAGAGAATGATTATCTTTTAGAGGACCGTTAGTATTTCACTGTGTTTATTTGGTTATAAGATGGTAAAGTTTAGTTGGTTAAGCAATACTTGTTTTTGTTAATGCAGGTATGGTGGGGATGCACAGAGGATGACTCCTGATGAATTTGAAGCAGGAAAACAATGGTTAAATGAAACTTTCCATCTTATTCGGTATTTATCAAATCTGACAGCACAAATCACTTTCTAGAGTCTCTTAGTTTTATGTAGTAATGCAATAGTTACCTTCTCTCCACTCATATGGTTCTCTTGAAGGATGACATATGTCTTCATATTTAGAGGTTTCTTGTTACAGGTGTGAAGATGATAGCCTTCCATCTATTAATTGGGTTCTTGACCTTGCAAAAGCTGCAGTTCTAAGACATGGAGTGCGTGGTCTCGTGATTGATCCTTATAATGAACTTGACCATCAGCGCCCCTCAAACCAGTAAGCATTACCTTGGCTCTCCTAAGCATGATGGCCGTTTACAGATTTGCTGATAATTGTTATTAACATGCATTATTAAAGATAAGCAACTTTTGTCCAAGAGTTTCTACTTATTATGGATTTGTATTTATGTGTGTGCGTTTCCTTTTTTTCTGGCAACTCAACAGGACGGAAACAGAATACGTCAGCCAGATTCTTACCAAGGTTAAGCGCTTTGCTCAGCACCATTCATGTCATGTATGGTTTGTTGCGCATCCTAGACAGGTAATCAAACTGTACATAACACTTATTAGTTTTGGTGACATAAAATGAGGTCTTGGAGTTGATGTTTTGTATAGCTTCATAACTGGAATGGAGGCCCACCTAATATGTATGACATAAGTGGAAGCGCACATTTCATAAACAAATGCGATAATGGAATTGTCGTCCACAGAAACAGGGATCCAAATGCTGGCCCCCTTGATGTTGTGCAGGTTATTTTTGCTCTCATTTTTACCCTTGATTCCATGGGATTTGTTTCATCATTTTTTTTTTGCAAAGAAATCTAATCATGTGCCTACTTGTTGTTCTATTACCTGGGGTGTTATCATAGGTTTGTGTGAGGAAGGTGCGGAATAAAGTGATTGGACAAATAGGAGATGCTTTCTTGACATATGACCGGTGTGTTTTTATTTTCTATATTGAAGTTTCTTGAGCATGGATTTTGTCATTAGCTTTGATTCTATATTTACCAACATTTCTTTACCCAAGTCTTCAAACAGCATGTCTCAGTGAATCACCAAATTCAACCTTTGTTTCCAACACAGGGTTACTGGTCAATATAAGGATGCTGGTAAATCCACTATAGCAGCTGTAACAGCAGTGCAAAAGCGGCAAAACAGTTATGCAAAGAGTAAAAAGGACAATGTGGCATATGAGATGCCATTTCCACATCCTGTTGAAGACGACTCGGTTTCTGGTGAAGACGACTCAATTTCTAGTGAAGACGGCGGGAATAGTTTTGGTCTCTGACAGTGCATAAGAAAGTCATGTTCCTGCTGATTTGCTGTACTTATATCAATCAACGCAAGTGAGATTACACGATTGTTTCTGGGGATGGCCTGTTGGAGGCTTGGAGCTCAGGTAGTCCTCATTGATGAACTGGATTGGAAACCCCAGGTTTCCTCTGATTCCTGCTGCAAATGAGGTTGAAAGCTAAACTTACTCAGATGCACACAAGACATTGGCAGGTTTGTGTATAGTATTAAGCTTATGTAGATTAATTGCCACACCAGGTGCTAGACCATGAACATTTGTTGTTGTTGTTGGTTATATCAGTAGCTAAACTATAGCGGCTAGGGTAGTAAGGTTAATCATGCAGGCCTTTCCAAAAATTGTAGCAGCTGGAAGGGTTTTTCCTGTTCACGCTTCTCAACACCTGACCAGGAACCTGTCTTTAATTTGCCCCAACCGCGAATTCAGGTGTTCGTTTGGCACATGCAAAGCAATCTACCGACCATGTGCCGAACATTTTGAATTGGGGACCGTCTCCGTCAATCTGTTTTGTAACTGGAACAATTAGCATGAATGAATGCTTCCAAAATCTCAGATCATTTGCACCTTTTCCCCTTTGCATTGTTTAGAATTGTGGATTCGGCTCTTTTATTGTCATTTTAGCTGGCTCTGCTTGGCAACCAGCTGGACATGGGAGCAAAAGCCAGGAGGCTGGCTGTGACTGGCAATGGCAATACCACAGGCAGCTCCTGGTCGGCTCCGTCGCTAAGCACAGATGTACATACATCTTTTGCAGCCGCGTAATGCACTAATCTGCCCGCGTAATGTGCAGTTGTCATTGGCAAACCAGGCCAGCTTGGAAATGCAGCATAATTGCACACTAATTCCTAATGATACGGCACTATGAAGCTGTGAACTTACGACTTTGTCTTTGCCTTTGAGCTGCATAGCTGTCCAGTCAAAGAGCAAAGCTGTCAGATTAACAAGCAGCCCCCACAAAAAGTGGTGAGACAACACACAACAGCCTAGCACAGGCACAGGCTCAATTGCACAACCCATCTAATCTCTCTTTACCCTCTGCAGCAGCCTTGCTGTTGCAATGCAGCACAAGTAAACAGACTACAGGTAGCAAGCAGCTAGCCGTTGGCATTTTTTTTTATGTGAAACCGTTGGAAGGTTGGCTGGGGGCTGACCATGCACCGCAAAAGCAAAGCCACCCCCGCCTGCCGCAGCCCACGGGCCCCACGAGCTCAACGGCCCGACCCAACGGCTCCCTCCCTCTCCGCCCGCCTACCTGTCGCCACCCCATTGGCCCCGACTCCGTAGCCGTTACGCTCTCACTATATAGCCGTTTCTTCCCTCTCCTCCGATCCCCCACTCCACGGTCCTCTCTCTCTCTCTTACTCCTCTCCCCTCCTCGCCACCGCCGCCGTGAAATCCGCACGCGTGCTTCCTTGTGAGCTGTGATTGTGAGTGAGTGCCATGGCCGTGGAGGCTGTGTCCGGAAATGGCTCCGAGGCGGTTGCGCCGGCGCCGGCGAAGGAGGTGAGCGCCAAGGAGGCGGTTGCGGTGCCCAAGAACGCGTCGTTCAGGGAGGAGAGCAACTTCCTGGACGATCTCAAGGAGAGCGAGCGTAAGGCGCTCGCCGAGCTCCGCGACAAGGTCGAGGCGGCCATCATGGAGGGCAAGCTGTTCGACGACGGCAAGCCGGAGGCGAAGGAGAAGGGGGAGGCCAAGAAGAAGGCTGAGAAGGCCGTGGAGAAGAAAGAGGAGGAGCCCGAAGCCGAGGAGAAGGGAGAGGAGGACGGCAAGAAGGAGGCCGACGCCGAGGAGGAGAAGAAGGAAAGCGATGAGGAAGGGGAGAAGAAGAAGGCCGAGGAAGAGAGTGGAGAAGACACCAAGGAGGAGGCCAAGAAAGAGGAAGCAGGCGAGAAGGCGGCGGCGAAGGAGGAGGAGGAGGAGAAGCCGGCGGAGACCGCGGCCGTCGTCGTCGTCGACAAGGACATCGCGCTGTGGGGCGTGCCTCTGCTCCCGAGCAAGGGCGACGAGGCCACGGACGTGGTGCTCCTCAAGTTCCTCCGCGCGCGCGACTTCAAGGCCGGCGCCGCGTTCGAGATGCTGCTCCGCACGCTCCGCTGGCGCAGGGACTGGACCGGCTTCAGCGGCGACGCCGATGACGCCGACCTCCCCGAGGAACTCGCGGGCGCGTGCTACCTGGACGGCGCGGACCGCGAGGGCCACCCGGTGTGCTACAACGCGCTGGGCGTGTTCGCGGACGACGCCGTGTACAAGAAGGCGCTGGGCACCGAGGAAGGCAAGGCCAGGTTCCTCCGGTGGCGGGTGCGCGCCATGGAGCGCCACGTCGCCAAGCTGGACCTGAGGCCCGGCGGGGCCACGTCGCTGCTGCAGGTGACCGACCTCAAGAACTCGCCGGGCCCGGCCAAGAAGGACCTCCGCGTCGCCGTCAAGCAGGTGCTCGACCTGTTCCAGGACAACTACCCCGAGCTCGTCGCAAGAAACGTGAGTGTGCTCATCCATCATCGATCATCGATCGGGTAGAATTTCTCGGCCGAGTGATTTAATATGGTTATGTGTGATTTCCCTCCACCTGCAGATCTTGATCAATGTGCCGTTCTGGTACTACGCGTTCAGCACCCTGTTCTACCCGTTCCTGACGCAGAGGACCAAGAGCAAGTTCGTCGTTGCTCGCCCGTCCAAGGTCACCGAGACCCTCCTCAAGTAAGTCCAAGTGGTCGAACATGTCTTGTTGCCAATCTTACAAGAAATTTTGGACAAGTTTCTGATAAACATCGTGCACCTTCTCTGAAGGTACATTCCGATTGAGGCCATCCCGGTGAAGTACGGCGGCCTGAAGCGCGACGGCGACACCGAGTTCTCCGCGGACGACGGCGAGGTCACGGAGATCACCGTCAAGGGAAGCTCTACGCAGACCATCGAGATCGAAGCCACTGAGGTACAGTGCTGACACATGAATGAATGAACAAGAAGTTTATATTCAGACAATGCGGGCCGGATTGACACGGCCGTTTCTTTGCAGGGTGACGCCACGCTGACATGGGACCTGACGGTGCTGGGGTGGGAGGTGAACTACAAGGAGGAGTTCGTGCCGGCGGACGAGGGCTCCTACACCATCATCATCAGGAAGGGCAAGAAGATGGGGTCCGGCGAGGAGGCTGTCCGCAACTCGTTCCGCGCCGGCGAGCCGGGCAAGGTGGTGCTCACCGTCGAGAACACCTCGCACAGGAAGAAGAAGGTGCTGTTCAGGCACAAGGCCAAGAGCGCCTGCGCCAAGAAGTGCTGACTGCTGAGAGGCTCGGTAGAAGCATGGATGGAATCGAATTGTTTGAGGCTGGAGAGATTTGGGAGTGAGATTGATTGTGGATTCAATATTATTCATTCATTACATTCTTTGTATGTAAGCGAGAGAGAGAACATTATTTGGTGATTATTTGAGGTGGTTTGTTGCGGCAAAAAAAAATACAGAGTTTCGATTGAGGAATTGTGAAATATCACAAAAGTTTCATGTGAAAGATGCGGGAATTGTGAAAAACCGACTATGTCAGACTTAACAAGCACTCTGCGTTAGCAAATTCAGCAGAAACTTGGTGGGTAATTGTGAAAACCTTGCATTCTTGTTTTCCTCTGCGTTAGCAACGTCAGCAGAAAATTGTGAGCATTCTTGTTTTTTCTCTTCTCATATGTTGTATTCGCGCTTATCCGAACCGGTCCAAGCCTCCCCAAATCCGGTTCCCAGCAAAGACTCCCCCTGCATTAACGAAGTGTCAGTCCAGCCAAGATGGAAGCCACCCCTGAAAGTTTGTATAAGATAGATAAACTGTGATGGAGCTTTCGTCAAAGAAACAAGTCTAAGGTAGGTGGGGATTCATCATCCGATATTTCAGCAGGTGTAAGGCGGGCGAATGAGTGCCACCAAGGCAGGCAGAGGCTTTGGCATGCCTCCTCGCTCGGTATGGGGTTTGTGGTGTTGGAGATAGATGCAATCACAGCGGCGGAAGCAATACGCCCTCCAGGCCAGGATGGTCTCTCCAATTCGGTTGATTAGGAATTAAACCAGGCAAGGATCCCTTCGATAATTTATATAGCGATGGAACCATTCCTGTCGTGGAATGGCCCTGAACAACCGAACGGAGCTTTAAGCCCCGTTCGGTTGTTCTGGAACCGGCCATTCCGGGCCTGGAATTTTTCCTCCGTAGTACAAATTTGTGAAGGAAGGATGTGGGTGGAAATCAATCTCAAATAACCGAACGAGGCCTTAGTGAAATCAAGGCTCTGATTTCTTCTAGCTTTAAGATAATACTTCTTTGTCTCCCACTGTCCTAGAGCTTGTAATTGTACTGCTGACTATGTGATTTTATTGAATTTCCACTTATCGGGATCCTATGCTTAATGGAACTTTAGATACTGCTGACTATGTGATTTTATTGAATTTCCACGTATCGGGATCCTATGCTTAATGGAACTTTAGATTCCATTAAAAAAACAAAAACAGTTCCCAGCCAAGGGAAGAAGCAAATGGGCACGTCAGCAGGGGATCGACAGCAGCGGCGTGTCGTCGAAAAGCGGTGTGTCGTCGAATAGCAGGACGTGTCGTCGAAACAGTTCCCTGGGCAAACCAAACAAGCCTGCCTGGCACGCGATACACACAGTGACACAGGCCACGCTCGGCCTGCTTCCAGATCCAGACGAATTCAGGCAACCAATCAAGCCACTGCCCAATTTGCAAACAGGCAAAGTTTGCGGGCATGGCCTTCTGACCTCCTGGGGATTTGGTTGAAAAGTTACGTCTGGACTAGAGCACCAACAGATGATGGTACTGTTTATTTGGCATGTTCTAGTTGCAAAACTTAAATCAAAGGAGGAGATGAAAACATACAGACATAACACATCAATCAAAAACTTCAGCAAACTGCCGATGCACCATCATTTAACACAGATGAATTCTCTAATACCACATAAACCACTTTAACTACTGCATAAGGCATAGCAATAGTCATCACTTAAGCTACCTCACCTCATGGTAATAACAACTTGGGGACAACCATAATACAAAAGGAAATGCAGTTTTGTCACAGCAACATCGCATCCATAAGCAATACCACCCATCTACTAGTACCTAACATCACCACACGCACCTCAATCGACTCATACTGGCTAACAGCGAGACAAGGGATATCATATCTGTACCAAGCACTGCGGAGGATGGCTCAGGCAGCATGCTCTTCCTCTTCTTCCTCCTCGTACTCCTCCTCATCATCCTCAGCCGTGGCATCCTGGTACTGTTGGTACTCGGCCACCAGGTCATTCATGTTGCTCTCGGCCTCAGTGAACTCCATCTCATCCATGCCCTCGCCCGTGTACCAGTGAAGGAAGGCCTTTCTCCTGAACATGGCCGTGAACTGCTCGCTGACGCGGCGGAACATCTCCTGGATGGAGGTCGAGTTGCCGATGAACGTGGAGGACATCTTCAGCCCGATGGGTGGGATGTCGCACACGCTGACTTCACGTTGTTGGGGATCCACTCCACAAAGTAGGAAGAGTTCTTGTTCTGCACGTTCAGCATCTGCTCATCCACTTCCTTGGTGCTCATCTTGCCACGGAACATGGCAGATGCCGTGAGGTAGCGGCCATGGCGAGGGTCAGCAGCACACATCATGTTCTTGGAGTCCCACATCTGCTGGGTCAGCTCTGGCACGGTGAGGGCGCGGTACTGCTGGGAGCCCCGCGAGGTCAGTGGAGCGAACCCAACCATGAAGAAGTGGAGACGTGGGAAGGGGATCAGGTTCACAGCAAGCTTCCGGAGGTCAGAATTCAGCTGACCAGGGAAGCGAAGGCAGCACGTAACACCACTCATGGTTGCAGAGATAAGGTGGTTGAGATCACCAACTGCACACACACAAAAAAAACAATGTTATCGAACATGCTTATGTCTGTACAGAAATAACAAGCAGATTATGATAGTGGCATATTACTCCAGGATTTTAAGACAATAACATCAACTAGAACACTGTCAAGTTTGAAGCAAAAACATCAGCCCCCTTCAATATTACATACAAGTTGAACGATTTACTAGCAGAATGGTAAATGTACCAGAAATATACTAGGTAGATAATGCACGTGCTACACTACATCAAATGTATCAATAAACATGTTTCCAAACAATTAGTTCCTTATGCTGCATTGCAGACAAAAACAAATGAGTGCTATGGATATCATAACAGTTCCTGGAGTTACAACTCATGTTTATTATCATTAACAGGTTTTTCTGCATCATTTTGAAACTGATCATTTGCATGTATATAACAATCAGAATGGAAAATGCGAACTCGAGACATACAAGATAGAATGTATGTGCCAGATTATGACAGCAAATAGCCAATAAACATGTTAACAAAACACAGGCCTTGTTTAGTTCCTCCCCCAAAAGTTTACTCCCTATCCCATCGAATGTTTGGACACATGCATGGAGTATTAAATATAGGCTAAAAAATAACTAATTGCAGTCTGCGACTAATTTGATGGATTAATTAGGCTTAATAAATTCGTCTCGCGGATTACTGACGGATTCTGTAATTTGTTTTTTTATTAGTATCCAAACACCGACACCCCCATGTGACACCCGATGTGACACCCCAAAACTTTACAACCTGGATTTAAACAAGGCCACAATGAAAAACTAGTTTGCTTGTGCTGCATTCTAGACAAAAAAATGAGCGCTATGCATATCATAACACTTCCTGGGGTTACAACCCATATGTTTATTATTAATCAGTTTTCCAGAATCATTTTGTAGCTGATCATTTACATGTATATAACAAGCAGAATGGAAAGTGTGTACTGGAGACATACAAGATAGAATGTATGTGCCAGACTATGACAGCAAATAGCCAATAAACATGTTAGCAAAACACAGTGAAAAACTAGTTTGCTTGTGCTTCCAGACAAAGAAATGAGCGCTATGCATATCATAACACTTCCTGAGGTTACAACCCATATGTTTATTATTAACAGGTTTTCCAGCATCATTTTGTAGCTGATCATTTACATGTATATAACAAGCAGAATGGAAAATGTGTACTGGAGACATACAAGATAGAAGTGCCAGACCATGACAACAAATAATCAATAAACATGTTAGTAAAACACAATGAACAACTAGTCTGCTTGTGCTGCATTCCAGACAAAAAGAAATGAGCGCTATACATATCATAACACTTCCACGAGTTGCAACCCACATATATTTATATCAATAATAAATGTTGTTGGCGCAAAGCATATACAGATAAATCACTGCATCATCAATTTGCGAAATACAAGCAAACAGATTGTTATACTATCAACCAGAACATGCCAAATAAATATCAACAACAGAAACTAATAGGATAGAAATGCAAAAATGGAATGTGTAACGTCAAGCAAAAGATCATTCAGCACTTACAGGTTGGTGTAGCAAGCTTGAGCGTGCGGAAGCAGATGTCATAGAGAGCCTCGTTATCGAGCACCATGCACTCATCTGCGTTCTCAACAAGCTGGTGAACTGAGAGCGTGGCGTTGTAGGGCTCCACGACAGTATCAGACACCTTGGGCGACGGGAAGACAGAGAATGTCAACATCATGCGGTCAGGGTACTCCTCCCTGATCTTGGAGATGAGCAGGGTGCCCATTCCTGAACCAGTACCTCCTCCCAGCGAATGGCAGACCTGGAACCCTGCAGTATTAAGGGAGAACAATGCATCATAATGGATCAGTAAGGCTGTCAGGCGTCTAGCGCAGCAACCACTGAGAGGTACGAGAATTCTACGACAAAATCCGCTCAATTCGTCGAAAATGTCACGAACCGCTTAGATCTAGGCGAAATCGTTCAGATCTACAGGCACAGCGCAAGTGCAATGGCTCATAAACCCTAGATCCAGAAGGGCTCGTGTCTCCATAACCCCGGAGAGGAAAGGGGCGAAAACATCAGATCCGGTGGGATAGATCAGATAGACAAGACATACCTTGGAGGCAGTCGCAGTTCTCGGCCTCCTTGCGGACGACGTCGAGCACGGAGTCGATGAGCTCTGCGCCCTCGGTGTAGTGGCCCTTGGCCCAGTTGTTGCCGGCGCCGGACTGGCCGAAGACGAAGTTGTCGGGGCGGAAGATCTGGCCGAAGGGCCCCGAGCGCACGGAGTCCATGGTGCCGGGCTCGAGGTCCATGAGGACGGCGCGCGGGACGTAGCGTCCGCCGCTGGCTTCGTTGTAGTAGACGTTGATGCGCTCAAGCTGGAGGTCGGAGTCGCCGGCCCACTTGCCAGTGTGGTCGATGCCGTGCTCGTCGCATATCACCTCCCAGAACTTAGCCCCGATCTGGTTCCCGCACTGCCCGCCCTGGATGTGGAGGATCTCCCTCATGGCGACGGGTCGGCGGGGGGGCTGGCTAGGGTTCCGGCGAGGCGAGGCGGTGGGGTTTGGTTGGGGGGATTGGGGGAGGCCGAGCGCGGAGACGGCGGACTGGCGGAGGAGTGTGTGTGTGAAGAGGGGAGAGAGAGCCTTTATTGGAGGAAGGCTCTGTGCGGTGGGGCCATTTTGAAATCGTTTCGTGCGGGGCGCGTTTGCGGACACGTCCCTGTAGAAAGCGCTAATTTCCCTTCGCCCGTAGCGTGAGTCGTTGGAGATTTATCCGACGGCCGGGATTCCCCGTGGGCACGAATCGTAAAGCCGTTGGCACGGTCACACAACACGATTAGTGAAGCGCTGCCGTTACAGTTCTGCCAGACAAGATGTAGCAATTGTCTGTTTCCAATGCGAGACAAATTACTCGCTCCTGACCAATTTCAAAATAGCACTTAAAATAACTGCGCCTTTTTTAGTTTAACTAAATCCATCATCCTTCCGTATCAAAACAACTGCAGAAATCAAAACCTTTTAAATTTGACTAAATATTTACAAAACAATACTAATGTTTATGATTGTAATACGTATTATTAGATTAACTATGGAACATACTTTATAATAAACATAATCTTATTTTATTTGGGGATATAAATATTAATTTAATATTATTTTCTATATGTGTAATGTGTAGTTATTTTTCGAACATATGAAGTACAAAAAAAAGTATCAATATTTCTGATATGAAATAAACATCATTAGATTTGGCAAGCAATTTATTCTCATAATACATCTATCTATCTGATATTTTCTCTCAGTAATTTTGATTAAACTTTAAATAATTTAATTAGAGACAGAACTAAAATTACATAGGATACAGGTAGTAGGTGCTCCGTAGGATATTTTCCTCGCACACTACTGCAAAGGACAAAACGGAATCGAAGCAAAGGAACGCTGCTATATAGCCAATACGTATGCCACATAACATGGCTTCACCAAAAGGCGCTAGTGACCGTATCGTCGTTTTGGACCGTGACCGTTTATGTATCTTTCTGTGTCTACTACAAGTATGTTTCCCCTGCAATGCAAAACGAAAGAACACTCTGAACGTTTTCCTTTTTCTGAACATTTGTCCTCTAACCTGAATGAAAAAGAAGAACAAAAGGTGTGTCGCCGACGATGCGACGGTGATGCGCCAGCGACCGTACGGTTGGAATTTGGAAAGGTGCAAGGCGCCACCAGTGGCATCACGATCCCCATGAGGCCATGAGCGACAGAGCGAGCAACGAGCATCGCTGCGGGCAGAGCAGAAGGCCAAAGAAACCGCACGGGGGCCCGCCGGGCGCACCACGTGTCCCGTGAAAAAGGACGGGCGCCGGGCACGCCGGGACCGGGACCGGCGCCCGTATATCTGTAAATTCTATCGCCACGGCCGGCCGGTGAGCTGTCCGCTTCGCCCAGATCTCTGCACTTGCAAGTTAGGTATATACCTGGATTGCACCCCAAGCTACGCTACGTCGCTACGTGCTACCATTATATTAGCTGAGCTTCAGCTCTCGGCAGCCGTACTTGATCGAGGAATGGCAACGTCTTTAATGTGCCAATTTGATTGGTGACAGTAAAGCCATTTGCCAGCCCTCTTGCATTTTTCTTTCTTTCGTCAAGAAAAAAGATGGCAATCCTTATCAAAGAAGAAAAAAGAAAAAAGATGGCAATAATGGAGTTTGTAGCTCAGCGCCATCCTCTTCATTGTCGACCGAGCGAGCGAAACCAAGAAACCGCAGTGACGACCCAGCAGCAGTAATTCGCCTGTTTTGGTCGGCATTTGATGAATAACTGCCCGTTAAATTTGGGTTCTGTTTCTACGCGCGCGCGTTACATATTTGCCACGCGTAGTATAAACCACGGCCACCGAGTCGCAATGCGAGATGTACTGCCTCGATCTAGGGACGCATTCTATAGCTGCAGCCGCGGCAAAATCGCATCGGCCTCCCTCTCGACCAGCCGTCGTCGCCGTCGCCGTCGAGGGCTGCTAGGTAGCTAGCTCGGTCGTCGTTCGTACACCGCACCGGAGAACCAATGGCCCGCGCAATCGCCGCGCTCGTGCTCTGCGCGGCCGTGCTCGTCGCGGCGGCGCACGCGGGGCGCGTCCTCGAGTACCATGCGCTCGAGGCCGGGCTCGACGAGGCCGAGGCTGCCCTGGCGCCGCTGGCCGCCGCGTCACCGCCGGCGTCCGCAGACGTGGCCGCGGATGCGGGCGGCAGCCGGGACGACGGCCGGGAGGTCCGGGAGAGAGGCACCGCGATCGGCGACGTCCTGTGGTTCGTGCTCCAGTGGGCCAACGAGCCTGCATCCGGCGACAGGCGGAAGGCTTACTGATGAACTGATCCGCGAGTGCCGAGTGGACTACCGGGTGAAAGGAGATGATAATAAACGAGCGTGTCGATCGATTTGGCGTTTCTAGCAACAAAGTTTCTTTTATTAGTTTTCAGTAGCAACAAATAAGAATTGCTATCCGCATTGTCTATCTTCAGTTTGTTTGCTATCGGACTTCGGTGACTAAAAAAAACAGTACAGAAGGGCCTGTAGCATGAGTTGCTGCGGCTGCTTGTTAACATAAACTCTGTAGCACGAGCAGTATAATATACTGTATGCAGAAAAATTGTTTAGGGACAGTCTCTCTTTGGTGTTTTGATTTGATCATAACTAGGAGAATACCCCGCGCATTGCTACGGAAATTCCAGATAATTTAAAAAAAATTAGACTATTTATATTTATAGTTATATGAATGAAACTATCTTAAATTAGTGTTGGTGAATGGTTTGACACATCGATGTGGATAGCTAAATGTATGTTAGTGGATGAAGAGATAACTATCGTAATTACATGTGCTAGTTAACTACAATTACAAGTTCTAGTGGATTGTTGACGTAGATAGCTTACATGTTGAGAGAAAAATCTCTTATGAAGGTTTAGCTTTATAAGAGTAGGATTCTGCTAAGAGCTTAAGAAATTAGCCTCCACCGACTCACCTCTCTCTCTCTCTCCCCGTTCATTCCAAACTATAATATATTTTAATTTTGATTTTTCTAAATATAATACTTTTATTACATATCTAGACATAGTTTAGATCTAATTAAACACATAGCAAACACTATGTATGTAGAAAATCCCCCAAAAAAAGTCATTACGGCTGCCCACCTTTGGCAGTGCTCATGCTGCCACCTCCGCAACCGTCCTCTGTTGTCGCCCTAGCAAATTAAAGCTCATTTCTCCTTCTCAAGGCGAATGCCCCTACCTCCTGCCGCCGTGGTTAATCCTAGGTTGAGTTCGTGAATTTTGGGAATTTTGTTATTGTAGCACTTTCGTTTTTATTTGGCAATTAGTGTTCAATCATGGACTAATTAGGCTCAAAACGTTCGTCTCGTAATTTTCAACTAAACTGTGCAATTAGTTTTTTTCGTCTATATTTAATGCTCCATGCACGTATCGTAAGATTTGATGTAATATTTTTTGGAAAAGTTTTTGTGAAGTAAACATGCCCCTAGTCTCCTTCTTATTGTTCGGTTGATCCATCGCCGCCTGCACCAGCCTCTCTCACTACCCTGATGGGTGACGTCCTCGCGTTCCATCGCGTCGCTATCTTAACTCCACCACCGACAGTCTAGTGGACTCCCTCCTGGAAGCCCCTTTCTGGGTGCCTTTGGTTTGGCTTTTGGGAGCAGCTTTTACTTGCCAGAAGTCAGAAGCCAACCAAAGACCCTATTCCAGCCCAGCAGTTTAGTTCATCCAAATTTCAGAATTTGGCACTATGTAAAAAGGCTCCCTCGCAATGTAAAATTGGCAGGACCTCAGGACCAGCTTTCACGGCTTCGGCTGGGAGAAGTTTGGAGAAATTACCCGCGCCTGCCACTGGTAAGTGGAAAATACCCCTTCGTTTCTTTCCCCGTCCTTCCCCCGGCGATAGACCGAGACCGCGGCGCTCGCTCGTCATCCCCAAGCTCGCGACCTGCGACACCATAGCGACCAGTGGAGGCGCGGTTCAGGGCCTCTGCTGGCTGGCCAGCCTCTCCCTCGCCCGGATCCGTCGATCCCCGGCCGCCCGAGCTCTGCCCACGCCTCCCTTCCCTTGCCGTACTCTCGGCTGCTGGGCGCGCTGCTGGCTAGGGTTGCAGGGCCGGCGGCCACCGGAGCCACGCGCGGCTCCCCTCCTCCCTTCCCTGGCCGCGGCAGGAGCCCCTTGGCCCGCGGCTCTCTCTCGTTTCCTCTTCTCTGATCTGCATCCTTGATAACGGTGGCGTCGAGGGGCTTGCAGCTGACCTTAGCAGCAAGAACGAGCTTACGCAGTTCTGAAACGCCGACCGGAAGCTTGCTGCGGGACAGGATGTTGCGTTTGTTCACCTGTTTCTTCAGGCCAGCAGGGCCTTGCGTTTGATTGGAGTAGCTCTGTTCTTTGCCAAATTTCTCTGATTTGCATGTAAAAATCTTAGTCGACCTTAATCAAATTTGTTCTTGGTATATAACTCTAAGGGCAGAGATTGAATTCTCAACGGTTTGGAAGATCTAGAGCTTCAAAGTTTTGTAAATTTGATACACAATTGGGATGCAGGTCCAAAGCTTCACAATTAATTTCCCTTTTCTAAAATTGCTATTTATAGTGAATCAATGAATAAGATAGTATTTTACAACCAATTTGGCACATAAACTAGGTCTAAAACAGACAGGGGTATCATAGACTTTTTACACATTTTACAGCTTGCAGTTTGTCCACAGCTGTTTCAGCCAACGGCTCTAAGCTTTCTTACGACTGATATCCCACGATAGCTTTTTCATAGCTCACAGCCCGCAGCAGCTTTTACAACCAAACACACCAAGCCCGCAGCCATGAAAACCAGTGAAGTCTTCATCTCCCAGTGTGTTGTTTCTGGTTATGATGTATTGCTTTTCTTTATCTTCGAGTGTGTGCGTGCCGAAGCGCCTCTGCATGTGCGTGTGGCCGTGTGTAAAGAAAAAATTGTTTAGGAGAAAAGATTGTCCGTCTTTTGGTATTTTGATTTGATCATAATACTGCTAACAATTTAATAAGTTCAAGTACCTTTTGTCCTAACCATGTCCTTTGGCAGGAAAAAACATAGACATTTGCGTGTTCAAGTAGCTTGCTTTTGGATGAGATAAATCTGGAAAGAAGTGGAAAATTCCTTCCCCGGTTACTTGTGTAGTGTGCATTTCATCCCTCAAATGGTTTTCTTAGTACTTTTGCACCACAACTATTAGTACAAAGTAAATTTTGAATCTCAAGTGTTTTTTTTAAAACAAACAAACTAAGGCGAGCAAAAATAATCAATTTTAGTTAGTGGGTCCTAAATTTATCTATGAACTCCTAATAGACTCCTGAAGTTCTAACCCGTGCAAGAGCATCGATCACTAAACCAATATCCTGAAAACGTTGTTCCATCTTTTGTCTAATCTACTGTATTTTTGAACCGTTTTAAAGGTAAAATGGTCTATGACTTCAGCAATATCCGTATCGACTAGACTGCCATGTATAGGCACTTTATGTTAGCGAGGAGAGCATACCAACTCATTCCTCTCCAATCTCTCTTTCACTTTACATGGGCCAACACCACAATAGACTCTAGAGATATGCCAACACACTGTTGCTAGGCAGTGACAGAAGACTCTGCTAAATTTTTTTTTATTGTCTCAACCTTTAAATACAAGTTTTAGTATTTGAACTTACACACTAACTCACACCACACGCACATACCTTAACACACTTACACACACCTCTTGTGCACAAGCTAGACCTACCACATATATCTAAGACTAAGAGAACACGGTGAAAGATATGACAGTGGTGGTACGTTCGTACGAGGCAACTGAAATTATTAAGGAAAACACGCTTCCCGGTGAGACACCCGGTGCCGATGCTAGGCATCAAACCCGGGCGGGTGGCCTGAACACCCGTAGCGCACACCAACTGAGCTGGCACTCAGTTCTCGGACGATGCTAAATTAAGGTACGGCAAACTTCAAATCCATTTAACTCGTGTTCCCAGTGACATGGCCTTGCACGCATCCCGCAGCTACACGGTAGGCTGTTTTGACTTTTGAAGGTGCCACCAGTCGCATGCTCTGTGCTGGTTGCCATCTACACTATACAATTGCGCTCCATGGCTACACAAACGGTTTCGCTCGTCATAGCAACGAGCTTCGCTTGTCGTTGTCTCGTTGATGAACCCTCAGAAGTCGAATATCATATATCGGCGTCCTACCTTTCGCCAAGTTTAGGCCCGTTTAGTTAGACTTTTGATCCTGGATTTTGCTTTTGCAAAAGTCAAAATACAACCAAAAGACTCAAAAGTCGCAACTGCTTTTGTCCAAAAGCTGCTTTTACTTTAGTACCAGACTAAAAGCACTCACCCCTGTTTTTAAGTTGCTTTTGGTAAAAAAATTACCCACCTGACACGAAGATAACAGTTCGTTTTTTTCTTCTTTCTTTCCGCCTGCGCGACCTCGCGAAAGAACCGCACGGCGCTGCCCCGGCCACGGCACCTCACGGCGACGGCGCTGACCGGACCTCACGGTGACCGGCGGCGGTCCCGGCCCGTTACCCCGCGGCGGCCATGGATTTCACGCGAGGCAGCACCCTCCGGGCTATGGCGGCGGCGAGCCAGCTCCCTCCCATCGTGCTCTGGATCCGTTTGGGGGAGGCGGCGATGGTGGATCCGTGCGGGCTCGGCCATGGCGCATGTGGATCTCGGCGATGAGCGCCCTCTACTCGGGCTCTGGATCTGTGCGTGGAGGCGGCTCCTTCTTCCAACCGACGGCCGCGGCTCACCTCGCGTGCATCTGCCGACGGGTGCTTCCTCTGCGGCGGCGGACGGGCGCTTCCCTTGCGGCGGCCGTGGTAGAGGACGCGGGCGAGAGCTCCGGCGGACAGGAAGGGCCTGCCGGCGGACGCGGCTAGCCCCAGCCCTGGCCAGCGGGCCCAGCCACTACGGCGGTGAGCGCGGCATGCCCTTGGTGGCGCGAGGAAGGAGAAGATGTAGCTCGCTGTCCATGACACGTGGGGTCCGCTCGTAAGTGAGAGAAGCTTTTCCAAAAGCCATAGCTGTCCAACCAGTCCAACCAAATGAGCTTTCAACTTTCCTACGGCAACTTTTCACAACCGCTTTTACAAAAGTCATACCCACAACAGCTTTTGTACAGTCCAACCAAATAAGGCCTTCGCATTGTACCTAGCGAGCAGTCAAGGCCATGTCCATGGTTTGGAGGGACCGAGGGGTCATCAACCAAATGGCCTAATGGGCTGGTGCCTCAGCCTACAAAAATCAGCAGCAACAACAAATGAACGGCCCGCACAAGCACAACATGCCA